ATCAAATGGTAAGGAATTAACTTCTGCTGACATGCTTAAGGGTTAGAATAAGAAATAAACCAATTTTCCTTTATTGTTTAAATTTCTTTGCATGTGTCTGGACTTTTCAAGGTACTGAGCTATAGTGCTTTGGGCATGCAGGTCAGAGTCCTTCTTTAAACATGCTATAGCTCCCCCTGTTCTGTTGGTGAGCATTATGTTCCCCCCTTGAAATCAATAATCCTCCAGTATTGTCCACCCTAACTGTTTGAGTTTTGTGTAATTATCTAAGTTTCAGTTAAAAATGTGTCCTTCCTGGATAAAAGGTGCGTCCTCATCCATTCCCTCCCTCAGCCAGTTTTGTTTGCTTGTTCCCTTTTTTTCTCTCACACAACTATTTTTTTTGTTTCAAGCCAAGAGGTCTGTTAGCGCTCCTGTAACACATACATCCAGTGGAAGAGGGAGAGTCACCAACTGAAATAATACAGTGCCTTCTCTTCAGTTTTAAAACAAATATACTTCTTTGGCATGACTCTGGATTCTGTGGGGAATTCTGATTCTCTGTGATTCACTTTGAACTGAAATAGTAAGTGGTTTGCTGTGTGAAGCCAGTAGTTTAATGCCTGATCTTCAGTTCACAGATCAGCACTATCTGCATTCGTGGCAGAAGAGGAAAGAATCACTATCAGGTTTATAATCCGTGTTACTCCATACTGATAGGAGTTACTCCTCTGGAGCTTATGTTTGGGTTTTCACTGAGCAGCAGATTGAAACCCATTCAGGAACAGCAGTAATACTAGTATTCTTTGTACCCAGCTGCCTTACTCAATTAGGAAAATCTTCACTCCTTCCTCCTTAAAACAGCCTGCCTCTTATTTTAGAATGCAGTAGAAACATTGAGTTGTTAGTTACATTTTACCAGATGAACTTCACTTAAAGCTTGATTAAAACTGTGGAAGCTGAATTATGCTAATGTAGTCTTGTAAACACAGCAGAATTAGGAGTTGTGTGTGAGTAGCTGGTCACAGAATTGAAAATATCTACCCCCACTGTTTTTTTTTAAGAATATTTGAGCAATTTGTGCATTAAATTTGATACAGCTCTGTCTATACAATGGTGGCCATGCAGTGTTGTCATTCCTAATTCTGTATCCACTTAGACCCATTTTATCCTCAGATCTGATATTCCTAAACTGGGAGCAATTATCTTGCTGTCAGAGAAACCTGAGAAAACAAGGAAAGAAATGGGTTCTTATGTCTTATCAAATGCCAGAGTTCATTGTTAATTCTCCCCATTTTCTGTTGTCAGGTGCCTGCAAATCTCTCTCTCCCGTGGCTAGTTACACTATGTGAACGTAACATTAAAGGATGATTGGAATTGCCGAGGGTGATTAAAAGGTCATGTCTGAATGACAGCAAAAATCAAATGGGCCATCCAGAGTAAAGCTGAGGAATTTTTCACACGTCAGTTAAAGTACATATTTTGTCTCATTGCCACAGATGGCATGAGCAAGAGAGAGAGTGCACATTAAATCCAGACATCTGCAGAATGGCCATCAGGTGGCTCTGGATCTCAGCAAGACCGTGAACAGAGGTTTAATTCAGACATATTTTCGTACTCCAGACTCCCAATTCCAATTATCTATATGAGTAAGAATGCAATTTTTCTGGTGCAGGGCTAGCTATTATTTTTTATGTTCATGAAATTACACTTAGAGTGTTATTTATACGCCTTGCTCATAATAAATAACTGGAAAACTTTTAATGCTTTATTAATAGAGCTTAATATTTAAAACAGATTGCACAGATGTGGTGTTTTTATCTACAGTGTTACTAACCCAGAAGAAATGCTGAACGTCAAGCCTACTAAACCTTTCCTGGCACTCACAGACCCCTAATTTGGAGATCAGAAACCCCTGTGGCAAAGCATCTGCCGTCTGCTGGCCGAGGAGAAAAGTGCTCACTAAGCACTGCGGTGCGCTGCAGGGTGTGCTCCAGCATGGCCCCAGCACCAGGAGAAACTGGTAGTTTTGCAGAGCTCTTCAGCAGCAGATCTGAAACAGGCCTGGTCGGTAGCTTTCTGACAGTGTATTTTTCCATCAGAAAGTGCTGTTTTGTTGTGATTAAAACGTTCTGTGGGAACATGTCAATGAGAAATTGAAATGTTCCGTTCTAAAAATATCAGAACATTGTGTTTCAAAATTTTCAGACTCAACACTTTGATTTTTATTCCAGAATGATTTCTTGAAAGTAATTATTTTTATACATTATAAAAACAAGAAGTCAAAATTGAAATTGTCATCTTTGTGTTAAACATTAATGAAACCTTGCATCATCACTATAGCACATGGTAACTTCAAGGCAGTCAAACATCTAGGAGTCTTGGCTTTTATTACCGTGCTCTGACCACTCAGTCTATGTCTCACTACTTGTGGTCGTGTACATATGCTCTGTAGGGAGCACGTGTCAAGAGCGTGACTATCTTTTCATTCAGATGAGGGAGATCAGAGATGGGAAGAAAATTTTGCTTTTCTCATCATTGCATCTTTATTTCTTTTATTGTAATTTCGCGAGTTTTACTTAAACTGCTATGGTAATTTAAAGAAAAAACTGCTTTGAGCTTATAATAATACAGCATACACAAGGAGATCCCAGTTATAGTCAAAATAATACTAGTCAATATTCAGAAAAAAAAAAAAGGAAAAAACTAAAGATAATTCTCAAGGCTTTCCTTTGCCTAGCTTTGTAAGTTTAGTACTTGTCATGTGCTAAAAAGAAAAGATAGACTTTGCCTTTTATTGTGCAAGGAAAGAAATGAAAGAAAGAAGTGCAAGGACTTGATTAGTGATAGATCCATTTTTATTTTTATATCTTTCCTTAAAATGGGGCTCCAGCTGAGTTGTATGACTTCTTAAAAGATTAGTAATGTTGTTTTCAGGAAGAAAGGAAGTACAGTGGTTCTGATTCTACATCACCAGTCATGGCAGATAATTACCTATCTATCTGTCCATCTATCTAATATATGCCTATATGGCAATCAATTACGGTGTTTAAAAAAAAATGTTTTAGATGCACATAACCAGGCTGAAATTATACTCACGGGGACAGTTTCTAATTTTGGACTTCATGACTTTTTAAATATCATTTGAATGTAGCTTTTAATTGCAATTAGAAAAATGAAGAAAAAGAAATTGCACGTGCAAAATCATATTCTCCCTCAACATGGGTTATCAGAAGGGCTGAGTTCTTTTGCTCACAGTGCAGTTATCTACCACGTGAGCTGGGGAAGTAACTGAAGGCAGAAGATTGTTTACCTCTGTAGGAACCAGGCGCTGGAGAGGGGAAGCATGCCTACGCTGTCAGGAATGTTTAGATTCAGGAAGTATGGGTTCAGTTCTGTGATTAGTAGGGGACTGTCCTGTCGTGATTGGAGACACCCTCCTGCACTGGTCTTCTACTTTTTATTTTTGCTCTTACTTCCCCTCTCTGGTTCGTGTCCTTTTTTGCTCCTTGGCCATGCTACTTTCACCCACTTCTCCATCCCATTCACTCCGTTTCCATTTTTGCCCCTAAGTTGCTCTTTTCTTTTCTTCTTTTCACCCTGTCTATATCGTTCCACCCTGCCTCTGTCCTTTCCACTGCTGTGTCTTATGACCTTTCCTTGTAGCTTCTCTTTCAAGATCCTCCTGGACCTTTTGTGCCAAGACCTCCTGATCCTGTTGATCCATCTGTTTCACGTTGTCTAAGTAGTCTTTATCTATCTAATTCTTCCTCACCAGTGAGGTGATGGCAATAGAAGCATAGCACACAAAAGAAGGACACACTCCTGGCTGTTGAGAATACGGTCTTGATGCCACAGCAATCCCAGCAGCTGGGATGAACAATTTCAGACAATGTCCTTTCTGTCTGTGCATCTGTGTTGGAGGATACTTACACTGTGGTTTCAAGCAATATAGTCTTTTACAACAAAATCAGTGCAGTGTCACCTTTTGTAGCACCTTACCCTTTCAATAACTTTCTCCAGGACCAAGTGGTGGACGGATCTGACATTAAAGTATTTATTTATTGCTGGGTGGTTTTTTAGCTGAATGAGTTATTGATTCATGCAGAGGGAAAATATATTTTAATTTGCCAGAAATATTTGGTGCTTTTAGCTAATGTATCCTACCAAAAACTCAACCTTTGGTAGATACAGAACAGAAAATCCAGTGCAGTCTCTAAATTACACACAACCTACTAATGGAAGAAGGCAGGCAAATTTTGGGTAACTCAAAGTATTTGTGATTTTGTCATCTGATCTGTAATATTTGTGCACCTCTCTGCATGAAAATCTGTCAATCTTAGTGGCTCTGCTCTGTAGTTAACATAACACGCATAGGGAGTAATAAAGCTGCTTTATTTAGGATTCTCTCAGCTGTCCCTGTTATCTCATTCAACAGGACAGCCTGCTAGTGATAGATTGGTGGTAATATTAAATTGTTTAAAGAAACTGAGAGGTAAAACAGGTTCCTTTATTTTATTTTGTTCTTTAAAAGATTCACTCCAGTAAATTAGAGAAATGTTATTTCAGATATCTAAGAAAGGCATCCTTGCTCTATATTGGCTTGCTTTTGTCTTACCCATATTTGGTTGAGATTCTTCTAATCTGTGAAATTCTTTGTGCCATTGTTTTAAACATAAATCAGCGAGATTTGATGCAGTGATTCATTTTGTGCTTATAGCAACTTGAGGCAGATGAGATACAATTTTAACTTCTGCAGCAGAAAGCTCTTGACTTGCCAGGTCCCTTTACTAGACTGATTCTGAATCATTGGTGCCATTGCCTGATTTACATCTTTGCAAATATATGCAGATACAGAGCATTGCTGTATGGTCTTAGGTCCCCAGAACTGCTGGTGACCTGAGTATCTCAGCTAACAGAATAGGAGCTTTTACCTCTTCACATTTTATACATTTCAAAAGGCAGTACTTTTCTTATTTTTTCTCTGTATAATTTCTGAAAAGGATCCTACAATCTTTGAATTATACTAAAGCATCTGAGAGATCAAAGTCTTCTGTTGCTAGATTGGTGTTTTCTGTTGTGGAAGGCAAGAGATCCTCATTTGTGAATTCTGTGGAAAAGCTAGAAGGACCTGGAAGGTCTGTAATTAGTTTCCATGGTTTTCCAGGACATCTAGGGGAAGGAGATTCTGGGCGATCTGGCAACGCATTAAATAAAGAAGTATCAGGAATAATTAGTGGTTCTGCAAGTGTACTGGCTTCCCTTCTTGCAACCCCTGGATTAACTAGCTCTGATGCTGTTTCAGCACTGGATGATGGGAGGGTTTGGTTTTGATTAAAAACCCTTTCATTGGACTCCTCAGAAGATTTGTGGTTTGGATGTTTATGTTTACCATTTTTACTGTGGTTTTTATGCCCACACCCATGGCCAGTTCTGTGCCTGCTACCAGTTTCATGCCTATGCCTTTTGTGAGACTCATGGTCCTTTTTATAACCATGCCTGTGTTTATGCCCATGTTTATGCCTGTGTTTATGCTCAGATTCACCTTCATGTTCTGGTTCCTGTCCACCATCTTTTCTCGTTTCTTCGCTAGGTCTTTGCCTTTCTTCTTCATACGTATCAGAGCATAAAATTTGATGTGGCTGGTTTAGTGCAGCAAATCTTCGGAAAGGTGTGAATCCAGGAGGCCTTCTTACTAACACAGCCTAAAAAACATTGCAATAATAGCCATATTTGTTACACGAACAAGAGCAACAGCTTCAGATCTGGGAAGTTCAGAAGTTGGCTCATTACAGTACAAGAGTCATTTAGCAAAAATAGGTTATCGGATTTTTAACATAAACTAAATAACTATCTTTTCTATCTGTGATAAGCATGGAAGCATAAATGCTGCCCCCCCCCGCCCCCCGCCCTGATAACTCCAGGGTATTTTAGCAGTTGTATGTTAAAAGAACAATTTACATATCACTGAAATTTTGCCAGTTTAACATGGGAATGATACTATAGAGAGCGAAATGTGTACTGGTTTCAATTTATGAACAATACAGTTGATTTCTAGCACTAAATGTCCCTGTCCTTGTTAGGGTAGAACACTCTGATGTATAAAACCAGTTTATGCTAAAGGCTAATATGTCTCTGAGTAGTCTCAATACCAGAATACACAAAAGATCTGGCTCGTTTTGTTATATGAAATGTAGCTGTTCAATTCTTTGTTTCTAGGTTTGACGTAGGCATTTCGTAAGGCTGCTTAGAAATAACACATATGGGTTAAAGCTGATAATATAAAACATTCAGTTGCTATTGAGTAATCTCTATTTCCCCATCATTGTTCAACTGGAAGACAAAGACTGAATATGTGGTGTTCAGTCACTATGCAACATGGGTTTAATTTCTGTCCACCACAGTGTCTGAACATTATCTACCGTCATTTGGGATGGAACTAAGTTTGAAAGTTGATGTCAATACAATACAGTAGTGAAAACAAAGAGGACATTTATTAGTTGATACATAATGAATGAATAGGTAGTTAGGAAGGCGCTCAGCACAGTGAAGTTATTGATTATGAAAGCAAGTTAATCAATCTCACTTTATTCAGTGCATCTGCTGTTCTTCATTGGGGACCATGTGAGTCCCTGCATTTATTAAAAAACCTGTAATCATCAGAAAGCAAAAAATTCTGATAATAAAAAACATTTATATTCCATTCTGATGTTTTCAAACTGACCCATGTTCAGGGCTAGTGAATCGTGAAGCTGGGCAGGAAGAAAACTGAAAGATCTTTCTGCAGAGATTGACAGCTCGTGGCAAGCGATCTGCTACTAACATGAAAAGATTCACAGATGCTTTTGAAATCTGTGGGGTATAATTATTATGTTGCTGTATAATTATTATGTTGCCAAATAAATTTTTGTCTCAATTTTCAAGCCTAGTATCAATAGTAATTCAAAGGAGCTGATGGGGCTTGATGCTTCAGAGCTTAACTAGTAATGTAAAGGAGTAGTCAACAGGCAGAATGTTCTCTTGGTCCTGTTGCCTTTGTATTTCTGTAACAGAATCACAGAACGGTCGGGGTTGGAAGGGGCCTCTGGAGGTTATCTCGTCCCACCCCCTGCTAAAGCACCTAGAGCAGGTTACACAGGACTGCATCCAGGCAGGTTCTGAATATCTCCAGAGGAGGAGACTCCACAGCCTCCCTGAGCAGCCTGTTCCAGTGCTGTCACCCTCAAAGTAAAGAAGGTTTTCCTCATGTTCTGTAACCACTGTGTTGTCCCTGTCTCACCTTCTGGTGAAACCACCTTTGATGTAACAAGTTGTTGAGGTGAGAGGGAGGCGTGTGGCATTACTGAGGCTGTTAAAAGAACTATATGTTCCTTTATTTTGGTACAAAATATGGGGTAATTTGGAATGGATAAAGAATTTAATGACTGCCTTTGTTCAGTGCTCTACTTATGATGATGAGTAATGAAGAGGAATCATACCGCTGTCCGTTCTTTAGAGCAGTTAACCTGGGGAACGATTTTATTCTCCCATGGAATCACATGAATTTGTGCTTCACATGTTAATGCCTGTTGACAAAACAAAAATCAATACATTAAGGCAACAAAACATCAAGCACAAAGGAAGAGAGCTGTGCATGAAAATAATGTTTTTTGAATAATACTTTAAAATATGAATGTACTTGGAACCTTACCCAAATATCTATGAAATCTGTCTTCGTGATGGAGACTTCTGTATTGGGACATATTACTGCTTAGCTTTATGAGGTTATAGTATGCCTGTGTGAACACTTTAATTCAACTTTGGATTGGAAGTTGGATCTTGAAAAATTGGATTTTTCATCTCCAGCACTTTTGGAGCACTGATTAATGTTCATGATGTTCCTAAGAAATACTGTTCATTGATGGTATTTCTCCTGCTAAAAATTGGGAAATTGAAAGGCATTTTTAGTGCCTGCTGCACTAACAGATTTTGAAATCTCACAGGTAAGCACTGCTCATATGGTGGGAAAAGAGAGGGGAAATAAAGCTTCTCTTTCCCAAGCAGCTCCCTTGCCAATGGTTTCTGGCCCTATCAGCATTATTTTCTAGTGTCTGGAATACATTTTCCCGGTATCAGCAGCACGCACTCCAGAAACATTGTTCCTTTGCACACTAGTAACGCTCCAATCCCGTGTTTTCCTTAGCTGCAAGCCCACAGAGTCAGGAGTATTGCAGCTATTTCATTTCGCAGCAGCCTCCTCCCCTCCCTTCATTCATTATTATCAGAAGAAAGTTCTTTCACTTCGCAGTGAGCGCTGATCCTGCAGTTGGAGTGACAGTTTAAGCTCCATGTTTTACCGCCATTGTCACTGGCTTGGGTTACAAACAGTGAAAGGTGTCCTTCTTGATGAAGGTTTACAGAAAGAGGATGTGATTTTACGTAAGTGTTTACAATTTCAGGTGCAAATGAATTTGTCCATTAGGAACATTACAGCTGGCAACATCATCATTACTTACACTGTCTGATGTGGCTTCACAGTCTTCATTAAGTTTTTCGAACTCTGTCTTTGAGCAGTTTGTCTTCTGGATTGAAAATGTTAAATGATAGTTGTGTCCTTCAACCACCTGAAAAATTAGCAAAAATGCTTTCTGTGGCAAAGGTGTTTTATTGAAAAGGGGTCACAGGAAAGATGTTTTTCTACAAGCTTATACTACTTATACGCTACAAGTCCTGATCACTGGAACAACATATGTTAAGAACAATATTAAAATATTTGGCTGCAAGCCTATCTGCTTCTAATCAAGCTAGTTATTTACTCCAGTTCCCCTTCTCAAAAATTCCAGCATTGAAATTGAAGGAAACAGAAAGGTCAGAATAATATCAGGCCCACAGTTTTGGCTTTGTTTTACTGGATGCCTGTAGTAATTTCATTAATAACAAATGAAATCATTAGAGACAGTGCTGCAGAAAGACAAATATGATGTAAGAAAAGTGGAATGTGAGTAAAATGAAGTGTGTGATGAACAGGCTCAGTTGAAAATGAACATATTTGCCAAATTTATTAAGGAGAAAAACTGCATGGGTTTAAGAATGTGCCTGGTATGAGTTCTCTTAGTATTTTTTACAGAGCCAAAGATAATACATCTTGCTTCAGAGACAGCAGGCAAAACGTGAAATTCTGTCTCTCTTAAGTCTGTTTTAAAAATGTATGCATGCTAATATCAATCATGACATGAAAAGTGGGAAAGAAAGAAGGTTTAAAAGGAGAAAAAGCACAGATGTTATTAGTGAGATAACGTGAGCTATTCAGAAAAACTCTGATGTGCCTTCTCCAGTGGTACCCCTCATGCTCAGGAGAATTTGTTGACAAATTTTCTGAACTATTCCACTGTCTTATTTTCAATTCTGTCCTAAACCTCTGTTTTGATATGTTGGGACAGTAAACAAGGCAAATGCTGACCAGAATTATCCTCTTGATTCCTCCTTCTTCTTTATTCAGTTGTATTTATCTGTATATCTTGTTATGCACAGATGTTCTCGTGTGAATCTAGCTGCAGTACTATTAGCAGCAGAATCAGTATATAAATTTAAAGATTTCTAAGGGAAATTGGGAAGCCCCATTTCTTGGATCTTACAGCTACTATGGGGTGGATAGTGCCTAAAATAATGTACAGAGTATTGGTGTGATGGAGGAAGTAGGTAGTTTCTATTTTTCTACTTTAAAAGTCTAAGATATGTTATAAAGGCTGGTAAAAAGTGGTGTAGATATATGGAAATCAGATACCCTAAGTCAACCTTTTTCACATACTTTTAAAATGATGTTGCTCTAAGAAAAATAAAAAAATCAAGAGATGGGAGATCTTAAAATAACTTCTGAATGCAAGCCAAGATGGATAAAATTTTGCGAGAAAAAATTGCATAGATATTCCAGTTACCACATGTATCAACATTTAGAGAAAAGCATTATTTCAAATCTAAATGTAAACTTTAGCTAACATTCAGCTCAGACCAATAACACTGCCGTGTCTGTTCCTCATCTGTGTGGTATATCCCAACCTGAACTGTTGCTGCTTCTATGTTTCCGCCTTTATAGTAGAAATCATCGTTGCTCTCCGAATTATACTTCTCCATAGAAACCTTCAGTAGATCTTTCAGTTCTGGGCTGTCTTTTGGGATAGTCTTTGGGCAACCAACGTGAGTGGCGGGAATTACCATGTCTTCAACTGAAAGAAACCAACAGATTTCAGATCTAAGGAACAAAAGATTCAACATAGATAAAGGCTGGGAAAAAGTTAGTTCTAAACCCCTGCCTTCTGGAATGCTTTGTATTTGGGTCTATCGAACCCAAAATATCTTTGAGTTTTATGTGATCAGCTGTATGTATCATATCTTGGTTATCTAAAAGAGCACTGCATCAGCACCTAGTGTCGCGTTGGATGCTTAACAACAGTTTTCTCATAGAAACAAGAATTGTGTAGCTAGCGTAGCTAGCAAATGAAGAGAGGGAACATCTACACGTATGGAGGACTTGAAACAAGAGGTGCATGTTATTGGCAATGAATGAGTGTGCTGAACAATATCGTTATCAATTCTTGAAGAAAAACAAGTCTGAATGGGTAAGAATGCAGCACTTAATACATGGAGTAGTATTGTACTCCCTGTTCTAAAGCTCTGGAGCTGTGCCAATCTGTGTCCAAATAGATGGCTGGAGGAAAAAGTGACAATAAGAAAACGATTTGGGAGTTTGACTGTAATGAACCTACAAATTTTAAGTAATTTATGTACTGGGGAAAAAAAAAGCCTCTAACATATCAAATCTAAGTATAGTCATGCAATGTGAAATAAATAACAATAGAATCAATAGGTGAATTACCAATTTTGGACAAAAACTTACAGTCATCATTTTCTTTGCATTTCGAAAGAATATATTGGAGGTCTTTGGAAAGTTAGAAGAAGTTACTTATTTAAACAGTGGGATATTAACTCACTTGTCATTGTGGTGGAAAATGAATTAATTTTTGTAGGACAGTTATACTTGGAGTTTGTATCTGTTGATCTCCAAGTGAGAGTCAGTAACCAGCTCCATGTCATAGAAATAGAGCAGTAAACAGATGATAAAATGTAACTTTCAGCTGCATATGATATACTTGGAAGTGGAAAAAATATGTGATACTACTTCATTAAGAGGCAGTGCTTTTTTGGTCCCAGAAGAATTACTTTCTCTTGTTATGATCTGTTTTCATGCCTTGCATTTCTATTTCATCTTTTTTTTTCAATTGTAAGAAAACCATTGAAAATTGCAGAATTTTTAAAATTGATAGTGCCTATGACATACCTGTAAGCTTGCATTGGCTTGCAATATCTATGATCTTCGCTTGAGGATTTTCATATGCTTTGGCATCACATTTAGCTACACGCTGGATTGAAAAACCCAAAACAGCTCCTTATTATTTAGAAATAATGAACACGCTCATATCCTTAACAGAGTAAGTCAAGCACACTACTAATTCCTCCTCCCTTCCTTCAATGCACTGGGAGCAAGAAGCCTGAGAGACGGTCTGCAGAGCCAGTAAATGATCAGGATTCAAAAGGACCACTCAGAGAAAACAACACCATAAAAGAGAAGCTAAATGAACTATTTGTATGTGTTCATTACAGAAGGAAATGGGAAGGTTTACAAGCCAGAAACTGATTTTATGGAGAACTCACGGGAATTTCTGTCTCAAACTGTAAAGACTAAAAAGATTACACAATTAACAAATCAAACATTGCCGAGGTTCTTGTATTTACTCAGGTGTTCTACAGGAACTGCGGTAGATGACTTGCTTACAATTGCCTTGATATCTGAGGGCTGGAAGAAAGCAGATGTTGATCCTGTTCTGTTTTAAAAAGGTTATAGACCCATAAAACAGATGTCTGTACCACTGAAGTGATTAGAAATGGTAATAAGGAAAGAACTAGGGGGCATGAATACATCAAGGAGAGACTGGGGTTTTTATTGTAAACAGGAGCTGTATTTTGCAGATTTGTCAGTTCTTCAAAAGCATCAGCAAAAGCGGGTAAAGAGACTTGTTGATAATGTATATGTAGATTTTCAAAAAGGTTTTAGTGAAGGCCCTTATCAGAGACTCTAAAAGAAACTAATCAACTGTAGAATAAGAAGGAAGACAGTTACAATTCAAGATCAAGATCTTAGGGCTATGGCAGGTACTTGAAAATGTCAACCATAAAACAATGGTGCTTACTAGTGGTTTAGAAAAAAATAATTAAAAAATCATGTCAAGGCTTATTATCCAGGTTAGAGAAAATGACGGTGTGCCCCGGTATAGCTCTGTGGTTCACATGCGTGTTGAACACAGGGTGAAATTCTGGTCTTCCCATTTCAAAATGTATTGTACAGAGCTGAATAAAGGAATGAAACAACTTCCATGGAATTTGGTCATTCCAAGGTATGGAATATTCTTGGAATATCGTATTCTAATATTATCTGTCGATGATCTATTTATTAGCAAGGCTGCTTAACAGTTCAGGGGATAAGTGATAAAGATCCAGTCCCACAAATCCTGTGTGATCAAAGTAGTATGTGAACGAGCTTAAGGTTTAAGGGCAAGCGTGCATGATGGACAGCTTTGCTTCAGCTAGTCTGATTCTCACTCTCCTGTCATTTACCACGGTGTTGTCATTCTTCCCTTTTTTGATCAGTGCTTCTGAAACATTCTGAAACATTCTTGAGACATCCAAGGAGTAATTTTTAAACAGGAGAGACTCTTGAATGTCACACTCAACAGTGTGCTTCTACAACAGCGGATGCGAATCAGGACTCCTGTGGTTCCTCCCCCCCCATTAACCACCACTCTTCATTATCACTCTATATTCCTGCCTTCTACCTTGTATTTGCAGAAGCATTTGTGTGGTCCCACATTGAGCTGGTTCAGGGAGGTTAGCTGAGAGACCAACCCTCTATTTTTGGTGCAGTTAGTTCTGTTCCAGGTCAGAGAAGCCGAGGGAGTACCTGGTTTTGCAGCATTGTTTAGCTAGAGTACGTATGTTTGTTAATAGATTTCTTCTGAAGCTCTCGTTTGGACTGTGGTGGAGGTTAAGTAATAATTCAGCTACTTACTTTTCTTAGAAAATACAGCTTAAGGTGGAAAAACAGTGCTAATTTTAATTATTGCTTTTTGGGTTGTACCTGAGTAACTCCTTGAATATCTAGATCGGAACTTCTCAAGGGATTTATTATTTGGGTGACACTGATTAGATTCTAGAGAGTAATTTGCAGACGCTTCAGTGGTCATCTTAGATGCTGATTCAGGAGAAGACATGGAATAGACAGTTATCTATAAGCCTAGCTTTAAATTTCATTCACAAAGTGTAGCAAGACTATAAATATGTTCTTGAGTCAGATCTCAATGATCATTTGTTAATACGGTATTTTCTTAATTAACAGAATTTGAAGATTACTTACACCTCTAGAAGTGGTTTTGCACTCTCGAGTTAAATCTTGAAATTGGTCTTTGGAGCAATTAGTCTCCTCGATTTCATATTTGATTACATAATTCCATCCAGCTACCACCTGGAATAGATATGTAAGAGATACATTGTGTAAATCAACTCAAAATTGGAAGTTAAACTATTAAATGTGATTAGCAAAGAAAGCAAAACTTCTCTTCTAGTAGACACTCTTCTAGTGCCTTCCATCCATCAAATTGCAGTCGTTGAGCCTTAGAGTATTCATGTACAGCAAAAAAAAATCTTGTTCTTGTGATACGAAAAGCAAACTAAGTCATGCATACACTAGAAGCATACTTTGTAGTTGGATTCCACTTCTCCTGGCAAGCCTGCAGCCTTATAATGCTTGGTTTCTTGCACTTTCCTCCAAAGTATTTGTTACTTATTTCTCCCAGTGACAGGAAGCTGGTCTAGATGGATGACTACACTAATACAGCTTGGCAAATCCTATGTTCCTGAGCATGGAATATAGTAAAACAGTGTCTGAATAATGTAACTTTATACTGCTGGCATCATTTGTTATCGAGGGTCCTGCATTTATCATCTACCTACGATCGGGTCTGCCTTGGGCTTTACATTCCTGCACCTGCTGGTTTATCCAGATTTGTGACCTTTTTTAAATTTTCTCTCCAGGAAGCAGTTCAGTTTTCCTCACTGACTACTACTTCTTACCCATGAAATCTCTCCATGTCACAGTATTGGGTCAGGTAGCATTGAATTAAAAAGGAGAAATAAGAATCAAATATAGGACCTTTCCCTCCCAGATCAATTAATGTGGAGGACTCTGACTCGTCTCTGTTGGCCAGAAGTGACATGATGGTGGATTGCAGTCTGTCCGTGACATTTTGTCATGTGGCTTAAATGTTGTGCAAGCTTGTCTTTCGGTTGAGAGGATCATTGCCATCAGTAAATAGAAAGAGGACAGTCTAAATTAAATCATGGGTCAAATTGGCATGAGACCGGAAGATGCTTTTTGGTGAAGTACATACACATTCAGAGAAAAGGATCTGTATTTGGTGTCAGGTTATATACTAGTTAAAAACCAAACAAGAAACTTTACTTTCTAGCCATGTCACATCAATCCATAGGAAGCCTTTCACAGGAAAATAATTGTTGCATGGAATACAAGATGACCTGAAATTTCTGTGACCTGGGCAGTCATTTCTTGCAAAGCAGATATTCCTGTGTGCAGAAATCTTTCAGTGAGTGGCATGCTAGCTTTTTGATTTTCTTACCCATTTTTCCTATATGATGTTTACCTGTCCTATGGCATATAGTAGCTGACATATGGGTCCTATTGCATTGCAAAAACATAGATGCCGGCTGCTGTTTGAGAGGCTGTACGTGAGACATCTGTGCAGGCTGGCAGTTTTGGCACAGAACCTAGGAGAGATCTGCTCCTGCTGGAGCTTCAGGGAGAGGCCAAGTGGAATACTTGAGAGCATCTGAGATGACACAAGATGCCTGTGTCAGCACTGAATGCAAATAACCTGGTGCTGAACACTGGTTAGATGCAACTGCAGACAAAGAAATAATATGTTTACCATCAGTTTGTAAAGTTGACAGCTCTGAAAATCCAGTAGGTAACCATTTATGATTCCTTATAAATGAAGAGAATTTTTTACAGTGTCTATACTCTATATGCATTTCGTATGCTTTTGTTATGAAATATAAGCCACCTTAAAATCAGAAACATGTACATAAGACAACCAAGGTACCTGGGTTTGGTGGGTTTTTTTTTTTTTGTAAAATTTAAAGAAAAATCATACACAAACCTGTCTTTTAGCTTCTTTTATTTCCACAAGCTTAAAAAGGGCAGGTTCAGCACTGTGCCTGTTAAAATTTTGAATGGCTTGTTTCAGTATTTCTGATACTTCTGAACTGTCACTTGATATAGGATGGAAGCATCCAAGACAGGTAGCCTTACCAAGTGGTATCTTTGGCGTAGCTGGAAAATAAACAAATGAAAAAGATACAGGGCTTCATGTAAAACAGCTTCAGGTTTTAATTTTTCCTATCTAGGAATGAGAGAAAAGGTTCAATGAGCAAGAATCCTTCCTGGTTTTATTGGAGTGATCAGCAAACCCCACATTTCAGTTTCAAGGCTTGCAAAGTCATTCTTTGTATTTAGAAACATGCTCTGGTTTGTGGTGGTAGTGGCCATCCATGACATTCGGATCCAGGCCTGGTTTCAGCAGCAAACTTCATTCAGAGGAGTGTGTTCAGGAGTTATCAAATCTCTGAAAAACTTTGCATGTGGTTTTGACATCACTAAGGAAGGGTCATCTCTCATTCAGTCAGGAAAGAACCAGTGGAGACAACTAAGGAGATGTTCTTCAGATTCTTCAAAGCTCACCCACTGTGCACAGCTTGCTGCACTCACTGTGTCTCAGGATGGGGACTTTAGCAGGAGTGTTTTGGCTCACCCATATGAACTGCTCTGACTCTGAGCTCCTTAGGGACTGTAGTTGAACTACTCTGCTGCTGTGCTCTTGGAACTCCCCCTGCCTAGTCACTTTGGCTGCCAGACACCACTTGGTGTTACCTTCAGGCTTAACCAACTGGATTGGCTGAGGATAGACAAGCTTGACGGGATGCTCAAACTTCTGTTTCCTACTACTAATCCTATTAACTCCCTTTCCTTCCTAGTAATCATGGGTTGGATTTTCATAAATTAATTTTATAGTTCAGTACATAAATTAATTTCATGATTCAATAAGCTTGAGAATGGAAGTGGGACAATATGTGGTCTCTGTGGAATTGAAGTAAAATTTGTGTGCCTGATCCTCAGCTGGCATGAACTGGCCTTAATGGAGTTATGCCAGTTTGCACCAGCCAGGAAACCAGTCCAGGGTCAGTACGATCAAGCTGTTCCACCAAGAAGGCTGATTAGTATGGTGCCTAACATGGTGGGGAAATCCCTCACCGGTTAGGGTCTATTGTTTCACTCTTTCTGGTTGAATCCTTTGGATTTGATTTGGCTCCTCTGTACATTTGGAATATTTAGTCTTATCTCTCCAAGGGGTACCCAAACAAAGTCTGGCCCTTCATACTTCTAGCATCACTTATTTAGACTCAGTAATGACAAATATATATATATATGTTACAGAAAAAAGTGAGCATGGTTTCAGGGAGTAATCACGAAGCAGATAATAAAACAACAGTACACCCTGTTCTAAACTGACTATGGTCTCAGCATTTTCCTAAGTGCTGAACGAATATGTATTCTTTTTTTCAGAGCTGCTATAACTTGGTAAGAAGAGATGAGCTGCTTAGGCTGAATACATGATTCATTTAATTTATGTGTGGTTTCTTAGCTTTCTAAGCAAAGATTCAAATGCAAATTTCCCCTGCATTCTCTGTGGGATTCACACACCTTTTACTGGCAACTAGATGTCACTATTGCCCTACAAATGCGTCTAAACTAAGCGGCGTTTATGCAGTAGCAGAACATGGAGTTTGTGTGTACTGCAGTTCCTAGAAGGACACTGGCTGTAGGTATAGCCGTTTAAGCTTTAAACAAGGTAACTAGGAAGAAAAAACAAAGATAAGCTGCCAAACATCTCCGAAATCATGGTGAATATTTCTGTAGTTAACATGCACTTAGCTCCCGGCTACCAGTTAGATGGGTATTTTAAAGCTAGCTTGGAAATGTCTTACGTGAACACTAGGCATAGGCACATAGAGATCTCAGTTGCAAACCTTTAAAACAATGCGATCTCTTTCTAATAAAGGAAGTCATTATATGAACATAAGAGTCATACATTAATGTCTTACAGGCAGGAAATGCAGTACTGCTTATTGTTAAGGGCTGAAAGATATCACAGTGTTACATAATTACATCACTGCTAGATTTTTATTTTGTAAGTGGAATTTTGGGGTGTTTTTTCTTGTTGGGGGTACATTTTTTCTTTGTTGGGGATACATATTTGTTTTGGTAAACATTAACAGAAATAATGTCATTTTTAGTTTGTGAAGAAAATTAAGGTACAATTTCATCATATTAAGGTTTTTTTTTCTAATAATTTCTGGCACAGTCTTATGCTTGAATAAGTAAGGACAGAAAATTAAAGTGTGACGAGTTGTATCTAGTCTCTAAGTTACTGATATGCTTTTGATCTCAAGCAAATTCATTTTAACTTGGTATCCTTCCAGCGTTTGAAGAAACTTACTACACACACATGTGCCGATTTTCGCTACCCTAGATAGAAGCTGCCAGTGCTTCACTGACTTAGCCTATATGTGTGTGTAACAGTGAAGTGAAATTTTATCATTAACATGTAGTGGCTTATGGAAGATTATTTATAAAGTCTGAACAGAATGATAAGGAGCTCCTACCTTTAAAATTTCCTGAAAGTCTCAGTATTATGTTTTTTCCCATTCTTATTTGTCAACATACTTGTTGAATGCTGCCACAGTTACATACCTGGAAAAATTTTGCAATCTTGCGAAACATTACTTGTTTTTTCAGCATTATTCATGTGAACTCGAGCTGTGCATTCTCCTGTTTTCTGCAAAAACATATGACAACGTTTGTCTTAAACTTGCCAAAGAAAAATACAGTGCTATATATTCCTCTAGCTGTTGAACAAAGTGCACAGTTGCAAATTGAGTTTGGGGAACAAGTTCATATGTACATTTGTATTGCTGTTTTGTTACTGGAAAAGGAGCAGTTTTGTTGATTGTGAGGACAGTAGGGGTTGAACTGAGCAGATAATTTGAAAGATTGTTTTGTATCATGATTAATTAACTAAAGAATTTACAGTCTGAATAATGGAAATGAGCACATCTTCATAAATAAAGTCTGTATAAATTGTGTATTTACCTCTCTGGTTTCCTCTCTGCTAGTACAAGATATGCAGCAATGACCATGACATTTTACACTGATTTAAATGATATTGTCACCATCGTCCATTTCTTTGCACTGTGTACTGTGTGAAATAACAGTGACTTCCACTGGAAATGTGCAGTGTTGTTGCGTGCTATGTGTGCCCCAACTGTACCTCCTCTAGGTGCTCTCTAGTAGCATGAGCCAAACATGCTTTGCACTGCTAAAAGCCCTTTGGTCAATTTTCTGCAATAGTGGCTTCCACGTCAGTGGTTTTGTTGGTGCATATCTGAAGTCAATTTGGTTGTGCAAGTTTCCATTATACATAATTAATAGAAAGTTTTACAGCTCCCATGCTCTTACAGTGCATGTATCTTATATTCAATTTATTGTGAACCTTCATATTGAAGCCCTGAAATGTTCCCTTCTGCACATATTCAGGATTATAATGGTTAACTTTAGAGTTGTAAACATTTCTGTACTGTATTTTAGTTCTATAAGCTCTCAAAAGCAACACAGCTAAAAAAGTTAAATTCTTTACTGTATTTTTCCACAGGCTGCTGCAGTCCTGGTCATTATGCCGATGTTTCTGTACAGAGAGCTTTTAAAGAGGACCTTACAGCCTTAAAGAGGACCTTTTAAAGATACTTACAGCCTCTGCAGGTACTTTGTAATCACAGTCTTGCCAGAGTTTGTTTTCCTCAGTGGCACAGGTGGTTTCGTGTATTCGATATTTCACATAGAATTGTGTGTCAGGACCTGCCTGGATACAAACAATACCCATGTCATCATTTGCATACTAATAAATCAAGTGAAAAGATAAGAGCTTCGAAAGGTAAATACTATCCATTGGTTACCTTATATCTCGTAGTATGATTTCAGATTAGCTGCTGGTCGCCATGCAAGGTCTCCCAAGTCTTGGTAGTTCGATAATTAACTTATCTAATTATACTGCTGAGCCCTTACCTACAATTATAATATGTTGATACAATAGATACAGTATGCTCAACTACCTTCATTTTAACTTGTGGTACCAAGGGTTTTAAAACCAGAAAGAAGTGGTTAGGTTTTATACTCCTATTCAAATGTACTCCAAATAAGCAAATTTGCTGCTTGGATAGTTAGCATGATTACCATCTTGGACTGTGCTCCTGTCTGACTCCCTCACTCTCACTCTTGGCCTTCTCCCAGATCTGTCTGCTTTCCTTCTGTATAACTCTACAGGCAGCCCAGAAAGAGCAGCCAGCAACCCCCAGGCAGCCTGGCAGTGCCCAGACTGCCTTTACCCTGTGGTAACAGGGTACTTAGGCTGCCCTGCCTACTCGGGGGTAAGGGGCGAGGAGGGCATGTGCTCTGGAGACAGCCTTTGGCAGTGCCTGCAGTTTTCTTACAGGCATTAAAGGCTGAGCTGCTCACCAGGATAGCCTCAGGAATCCAGACAAAGTATTAAGCAAAGTTTGGCCTGGCTTGTGGAAGTGTTTCTGATGTTGGTTACTCAGTAGGGGGCATTTTCTCCTTGCCGTAAACCTGAGCCTGTGCCTACAGGTGGCATTAACACCCTGCAAGGTTTGTGGTTCATCCTTTAAAGGACATTTAAAGCTAGAAGTTACTAATCTTTTACAGCCGCTAAAAATGCTCTGCCAATGTGCCTTTTTCAAACACAAACACAGGCAGTTGCTACTGTACTTTAACACTGGTTATCCTCAAATGATACTGCTGGGAGAATTAAATTATAATTCTCACCTTAGTGGTAACAAGAAAGTGAAACTGAGCTGATGTGGGTGGAATATACTGGATTTACGCTGGTGCAGACACAGAATTATGTTCTGTGTTCTCTCAATTCCTGTTGTGTGTTGCTACAACTATGAAGAGGTTTAGAGGTACCCGATATAATGGTTGCAGGTGGTAAAACAGGATGAAAAGGTCTCTAAAAATATAATGGACCTAATCCTTAGCAGGTATAAACTGACATTTATGGAGCTGCATCAGATTATACTATCTGGAATGTGGACTTAAAAAGAGCCAAATTCTGTTCTCTGTTACAGTGTTCAAAATCTGTGATAAATCAGCTCAGTGAGTAAACGAAGTAAGTGAGAAAAGACATTGTCTCTGTATGTCACTTGTTGTTGGTTTATTTCATTATTATTATTATGAACAGCTATGCCTTTAACTGGGGCAGGTTCAGTCTTTCACCAGTCAGCTTTTATGTTTTATTAACTTATCAATAATGAATGTACATGAATATGTAATAACCAGCTATTTAATTAATGTATTCAACATTGTGAGACTAACGATGAGTAAAATCTATACTCTTTTCAGAAAAAGAATATAGAGGCTGAGGAAATCTCTATTGCAGATTCCTTTTCTCTCCTTTTTACTTAACATCATAATCAGATCAATGATTCAAAGTAATAATTGATTTCCACCTCAGACCTTTTAAGAAAAGGAAAGATGGATATCTAGAGAAGGAAAGATGAATAATAATTGCAATAAATATGTATTCTTAAAAATAGAACATTGTTTAAGATAAAATACTGAAACTAATATCTGTTGTTTGGGAACATCAGCAAAAGGAAGGTGGTGTTACAGCTCCGTTATAAAGATACTTGCATTTGGCTGTTCTTAAGGTTGTGTGTAGTTCAGTGAAGACAGTGGGCTTATTCATTTGGTTTACCACTAATAAAGTCCTGCAGATGCAAACCCAACACAATCTGTTTAATATTAATTGTATAAAGGGTTTGCTGGATTTTAGTCTTTGTCACTACATGCTAAATTCTCCCCAGTTAAAAAACAGGAAAACCAAGGATAGGTACAGGAGATGTGGGTAGTTTACTGTAAGGTGTTTAGCAATTTATGTTCCCTTTCTGAGGTCACTTTCTATCTGGGTAAAAGCATCTTGTGATTTTGGAGTGCAATATATTCTCTCTGACACTGGGTTTCTTGTTTTTTTACGTCTGAAAATCTAATCTAGTAGAAAAAATGCTGATGTTGTTTTCGAGTAAAGTAATGCTTGTCACTGTTATGGTAATATCATCTTTGTATGCCTTTCAGAGGTAAATTCTCTTTGTTAGATTAACACTATACAGAAGGATTCCAGGCAAAGGATCATGTTTCATTCTTTTTTCCTTCCGTAATTTTAGCTGTCACCCTATTTGACTAAAATACCACCTAGTCCTTTTAGATAATCTGTGACTCAGGACTAGTGTCAATCGAATAGTACTCACAAACAGTTTCTTCAGAGTATTGCCAAATTTTATCAGGTCTTTTTTTTTTTTTTTTTTTTTTGCGTGATACCAGCTCTTCCTAAGTCAAGATAATATTCAGGTTTTTCAGTAAGTGTATTTTTGCCATTGATCTGAAAACCTCATTGATACTGGAAAGGGGTAGAATTCCCAACAGAGAAAGGAGAAAACAGTGGACTAGTAAGACATTGTATTAGTGATTGAAATTTTCTATTCTTTACTCCTTGCATTAATAAGCAATTCACCAGCACACATAGTTACGTTGATAAGAATATAACATACATCCCTGCTTGTCATGGTAACGAGTATCTTACTATGCAAGTAGTTTCTTTGATTTTTTAAAACGTTTTTGAAAACACTTTGCTGTCATGCTTGCTCTCTTATGAACAGGATGGAGATAACCTGATTCAGAGTGCATAAACAATTCCCACTTGGTTGGGTTGGGTTTTTTTGCAAATTCTACTTACAGTTCTCTTGGCTTCCATCACCATGTATAGGGCAAATTGATTACCAGTTGCTCCGTCTCCATTGTATTTCTTCAGTGCTGTGTCAACAGCTTTAAAGACATCAGGGTCATCACAGTCCGAAAACTCAAATGGAAGAGGGGTGGCTCTGCTAGACAAAAAACTGCAGCAGAGTGCTAGTACAAGGAAAGGTTTCATAATTGACAAAAAAGACCCCCTGAATTAGAAGGCTCTTTAAAAAACAAATGGAAAAGGAATGCCTGACGGAGTTTTAGTCGCCTCTTCTGTTTTTCAGGAGGGATAGCTAAGTAAACAATGAGTTGGTTGCTGGGGTTGGTTGGTTCTCATCATACCCTGTTTACACTGCAAATAAACTTCTGAGTTTATCTAAATAAACTTTGTGTGGTCACCAGAATGACACTAAGGTTATCCCCCTGCCATCAAGATAACAGGCTAATGTTTGCAGGTGGGGACAGGTTTAGACTAAGCAGGATGGCTCCTGAGAAGAAGAGAAAGCAGAATGTTTGTAGCTTTCTAGCTTCTTTTTTTTAACGTCTAAACTGCTACTGAGAATTAATTTGAGAAGGCTTAAATAAAACACACAAGAATCACAGAATCACAGAATGTTAGGGGTTAGAAGAAACCTCAAAAGATCATCTAGTGCAACCCCCCTGCCAGAGCAAGAAGATCGTAGTGGCAATGAAGTTCTGATTCTGGACAACAACCCTGTAATTTTTATAGATCTGTTTAGTGGTCAGACTGCAGTAGTTCTGAGGAGTCAGAACATGTTTGAAAAAAGTCCTTGGACAGGTGCGTGTTGTTGAATGTCACATAACTCTTCAATAACACTTGATAAACCTTGTTCTTCATGCCACGATTGGAAGTGTCCATCTTTGCCTCCATGTGGAGACTGCCTTTGGACCATGGATTAGTCAGTCTTCATAATGTTTTGTTATCATTACAGATAGGGAAAGTGACGCCCAAGAACAAGGGATTAAGTAATGTTCCCTGTGTCTGGCAGAGCCAGAATTAGAGCTGGCTGGGAACATCTGGTGCTTGTCTCCAGTGTTGAGCACCAAATAGCTTTGCTTTGAATCTGTGAACACCTTGGGATTTTCTCCAGTGTTCCAGTTGTGTCTTGCTACAAGTTTTGGTTAAAGAAAATGCACTTTAGAGACTTTGTGGATAAACTATGCAAGAAATAAGGTTATTTGTTGTGGTTTAACCCCACCTGGCAGCTAAGCACCACACAGCTGCTCTCTCACTCACCTCTGGTGGGATGGGGAGAATCGGATTTTTTTTGAGAAAACTCGTGGATTAAGATATAGACAGTTTAATAAGTAAAGCAAAAGCTGCACACGCAAGCAAAGCAAAACAAAATGAGGAATTCATTCACCACTTCCCATCAGCAGGCAGGTGTGCAGCCATCTCCAGGAGAGCAGGGCTCCGTCACGCGTAATGATTACTTTGAAAAACAAACACCATCACTCCAAATGTGTTGTCCTTCTTCTTCCCCCAGCTTTATATGCTGAGCGTGACGTCATACGGTATGGAATAACCCTTTGGTCAGTTGAGGTCAGTTGTCCCGGCTGTGTCCCCTCCCAACCTCTTGTGTACTTGAAGCCTCCGCGCTGGTGGAGTGCTGTGAGGAGTAGAAAAGGCCTTGACTCTGGGTAAGCATTGCTCAGCAATAATGAAAACGTCCCCATAATGAAAACGTCCCCATGTTGAAGGAATGAAGTCAGAGAGTTGTTGTCAATGGGACAGAGTCTAGTTGGAGGCCTGTATCTAGTGGAGTCCCTTTGGAGTCAGTACTGGGACCAGTACTATTCAATGTA